TCTATTATATTCAGACGTCACCGAGATAGTCCGAGTAAAGTCGCAATCTCTAGTGACGAAACTCCGTGGTTTAGGTAAGCTTTTCTTGTTGCTTCATAGTCTCATCCACATAATATCTTTTGTACAGCAAATTTGCGAATAAAAACAGATCGGCTCAAATTTCAGGATAGCTTATGTATAGTGGTTTTGTCGATTCTGTGAGATAGAGTTGATTATTGCTTTTCCGCCTTTGAAAAGATTTACGACTTTCTGCTTTTCTATGTAATCACTTCTCAAACATGAATTTCGAGAGCTGAGTGGGTGACGCTATTGATATGAATGGCGTTTTTCATATGAATGACGCTATTGATATGAATGGCGTCGTAGGAGACGACGATATTGATTCTGGAGGTAAGGGTAAGTTCATTCCGCTTTTAGAGGAGGAGCTGGCTGGTCGAGTTTAACATCATAGCTGTGATTGATTATTTAATAGCCACAGACTGCACATAGACCTACTTCACTTAAGAAATCTTGACTGCGTTACATTGAGTAAATAAGCGCATTTCAATGGTTCATATTCGATGAACACATTGCCATCGAGGCACTGAGATGCACTTGATACAAAAAGCAATGCCATTTACAACTTCAAACCATATAAATCGGTTAGCCGATTTGTACCCACGCGTTATTTTATCTGCTCAGCATAGATCAACGGATGCATGACTCCTTTCTTATACTTCATACACAAAAAAGCGTCTATTGTTACATGCACCGAGCAGCTGCAAGCGATTGTAAAAAAGGAGAAAAAAAAAGACGGTTGGCTGTTGGCAGACAAGGCTTTATAGCGTAAAAAAGAGTTCTGTACAAAACGAGCGTCGGTGGATGTAACGGATAGCATACGCTACCGGAAAAAGTTAGATCTGGGTTCGAATCGCGGCTGACGCAAATGTTTTAGCACAGCACTCCACTCAAATAAAAAGAAGTTTGACTCACTAGCCTTTAATTTCAAGGAAGATAAGTCAACTAATTAACCCTTCCGAAGTGGTGTGCTGCCTCATCGCGGCTGAGGGATGTTCTTGAATGTCAGATTGCGGAGTACAGCGAATGATTATACCTTTGCAGGCCCACCCAAGTTGTACATTAGTGCGACGTTTCCAACCGAAAAACCCAGCTAAAAAACAAAAAGGGTAAACCGTACCAGGAATGACCACCGACCTGGTAACTACTAGTTGCAAGGTGATAATCTCCCTCTGATCCACGAAGGCCGGCGGCTGCCATATTGTGATCACGACCTGAGGAAACTCCGGCTGGAATTACCTCGGGATTTCAGAGAGCTGAACCAGCGCAGTTTTCCTGTGCTGGGGCTCTCACTAGCAGTGAAGAAACACCATCGAAGCATCCATGTACATAAATCAGCATAATACAAGTTTCCTCAGAAATAGGACGGTTTGTAGGATATTTTTTCGTTACACGTACCGAGTTCAGTGGACGTCGATCTTTCAAAATGTTGGAAAAATTAGAAGTTTGTTTTTTATAGAAGTAATCCACATAATGATAAGTACGAGCTGCTGTTGAGCGTTCTCCAGCTATGAACCAAAAAATTTGTTTGCATAACCTTTTTTCAAAAGTCGTACATTGTAAAATATGGTTTTTTTGGGTTACACTCCACAACATACGAGAGGCTTCCAAAAGAAATGAAAAAAAGCTCTTCCTTCTGGATTTACTTTTCTCCTTTGAAACAATGCACACTTCGGATGCGCATAAGCTTTCTGTATTTCACCAACCCCTTTTTAGAAGTGTACTCGTTGATATACTGTCGCTTGGTGACGACAGAGTGCCCCTAACCTCTGAATCATTCTATGTATTAAGCAACAGATCGACTGTGAAGTTCAAACAACGGGCCATACTGGAAAGTCTTTTCACAAAGAAGCTCTAACATAAGATTTTGTTCCACAAATAACGGATAGACTACAAGGAAAGCATAATGAAAAAAGTTATGTATAGAGTAAAACGTTACGAAACAGTATACACATATATTTGTGCACGCATGGGCTCCAAGCATATACAACGTACGCACAAATTGTGTACTCCTGATCTTCAAAGGTTGAAAGTGGCACAATGCTTTGCTTCACAAAGTTACATGACAGAACAATTTCAAACTTCACGACAGAAAAAAAATTACAAGAATAAAAAGAACGTTCTATTTATAATTTCGACTTTACTCGCTTTTCTTGTGAAAAGTCGATCTTTTGGAACATCTAAATAGGTGTTTATACATATAAAAAAAATATATATATAGGATCTACTTATATTGTGACAACTCATACATCATATTAACATTTAAAAAAAAAACAACAAACAACTGTCTGGAAATCTCTTCTCCGCTAATCTCATCTCTGAGAATGTCTTGTTCTTTGCATTGGTAATGTCTCATTTCTGATACTCAGAGGGTTAACAGAAACTGCTGTGCTATTCTTGATTCCAAAAAATTTCTTCACATTTGCAGTGTAGAGGTTTTCGTCGAATTGTCTGCGATAGTCCTTGCTGAAAAGGTGAAGTAATGCTGTTGAAGTAACTAACAGTTATACTTGAAATGTCTTTCTTGCTGCTATTACTTTTATTTATTATCAGATCGTTCTAAAATTGCATTTGGTCCCGTTCAAATGCGCATATCGTTTTGATTATCTTGGTACACAACTTTCCATAACAAATTCTTCTGCTACTCATGCATGAATTGAGCATGGGGAGAATGTCAGTGAGGCGGAGGTGCAAGATTACTGGAGTTTGGTGCGATGATACGGTTGCAGAAAGGACGGCTGGGAAGTGGGTCGTGAAGCTCAGTGCTGAAGAAAATAGTCCGGAAGATCAGTCGCTCGTGGGCCGTTCACAGGATGCTCTCACTAATCTTGCTCGCCGCTTCACTAATATATTACCCTACGCGCCATTTGTGCCTGAACAGCAAGCGAAACTCTTCCCCACGTTAGCTTCATTTTAGAGCAAGTATGGGCAAGTAGTATTCCAAAATGTTCACGACAAAACGCTCAATTGACTGATAGCAAAATAATGTAGTTTTAATTACTTATAATCAATAATTATGTTGTTTATTGCTCTGGTGTCAAAACTTACGAAATTACGTCATATTGTCATTGTTTGTCAATTTTATTCTTATGAGTTAATATTATTCAATTATTATTATCATTTATCAATATTATCACTATTAATATCAACTATTGTTATTGTTAATTACCACTATCATTTGGAATTATCATTGTTAGTAGTTATTGAGGGAGACCGTGACCGAGTGGTTGTGATGCACGTCGCAGTGCTGCTCGGGCTATTCCTCACTCACCACCAATCTACGACTGTCACCAAGGAACGCCTTATGGAAATCCACAGCCAGGTTATTCTCGAGATTGCAAGAATACATGCTTAATCGATATTTTACGAGGTTCAAGTGGAAGACGATAAATTAATTAATTGTTAGACCTATTGGGATCGTACAAAAACTGTGAGGCGAGTCAAATAAAGTGATAAAATGTGAAAACAGTTGTTGCTATTACAAATAAAATTTAACAATGCACTCGTGAAAAGCACTAATTCAATTATGACGTAATCAGAACATTACAAGAAATAAAGAGATTTACCGTACGCTTACTACAACTACTGAGCTCATCACCACAAAATTCGGATTAAAAACCACATTGCATTTGCAGTACACTGTCGTTTGACGACTATTTACTTGTATACCTAGGGTTGAGCAAAAAGTCTGGGAAATTTTCGGAAAATCTGTTTCCATGTGCACGGTCACAACAAACACAACAATGATTATTCTTCAAATTACAGAACTTTCGTTTTTGGTTCTGAATTTCGTTTATATGCGCAAGTCAGCAACAAAAACAACAATAATATCCTTCAAAGTATAGACCACCGTTGACCATGACTTTCAGTCATCGTTCTGAAAGATTCCGGATCCACTCGAAGTACCGTTCTGCCTCTTTGAATCAAAAAACTCTTGACATGTGTCATCAACTCCATCAAATGACTCAACTCGACGGTCATTCCACTGCTGCAAAAACGCCAAGCTCTTCAGTCAATTCAGGAGTGCGCTATGGAGGCTCAGCATATAAAGCGGCTTGCAAATCACTTTCATCCAAAACAGATGATCGGCCAGTACGAGGTGTGTGTGTTCGAGATCAAGACTGCCTTTTCTAAAATCATCCGCCCACAGTCGATCTTGTCGTCGTACCATCACCTCCACCCTCATAATCTCATCGACGGTTTAAAAATTGTTTAAACTCTTTCTTCAATCATTGCGGATCAATACATAGAAATCATACTACTCATTAGAGATTTCGGAGCTGAAATTAATGAACTAGATTAATATATACAGAGCTATCATCGGAAAACGACACAAAGATATCAAAAAATGAATCATTCAAAATCCACAACTTTTTGCTCAATCTGTAAATATGTTGCCTCAGAAAAGATAACTACACAGATATTCACTACTGCCTTGGCGCATCACAGTGACAGTACCAATTGCTGTGCAAAACGAGCGTCGGTAGTGCAACACTTAGCATACGCTCCCGGAAAGAGTGAGATCTGGGTTCGAATCCCGGCTGATGCAAACGCACAGCACTCCACTTATTGGGTATACTATAAACATCATACCACGGCAAGTGGTAGTCAAAATAAAAAAAAATTAAGACTCAAAAGTTCGACTTTCTATAAACCTCGGCATAATTAATTGAGTAGTCTAATACTACATACGCCCAGGCTCTGAAGAAGGCGGGTCGCCGAAACGTCAGCCGAACTTCTACGACTAATTTACCAACCTCGCGTCAGCTGATCAAGATAAGTTTTCTCGATTTCCATATAAGAATTTAGACTGATTATTCATATCCAATGTCTGCCAACACAAGTGGGTTCAATGTCGATAGCGGCTGCCCCGCCAGACCGTCGACGGTTGGCTGTTGGCAGACAACGCGCTATAGCGTAAATAAGAGTGTTGTGCAAAACAAGCGTCAGTAGTGCAACACTTAGCATACGCTCCTGGAAAGAGTGAGATCGGGGTTCGAACTCCGGCTGACGCAAACGATTTTGCACAGCACTTCACTTATTGAGTGACAGTACAGCTTGCAAGGATATTCGTAGAACTTGTGAAGTAGAGAGTACTCGCTGTAGAGTGATGTGCACAACTTCTGCTCCAGGCGGGGCTCAAACCCGCATTTCGCCTTATCCGAAAGCGCGTACTCTAACCAGCTGCACTACCGACGCATGTTTTGCCACCACTCTTTCTACGCTCAACACACCTATCTATCAGTAACCAACCGTCAATGACGTGGCCTGGGCAGTTAATATCGAAGAAAGCGGTCAAATAAAAGCAATTATGTTCGATCATCCAATACCCAATATCTGTCAGCGTCACTGGGTTCGATGTCGATACCGACTAGCCAGGACAGAGCGCTGACGGTTGGTTGCTGACGATAGATGTGTTGTAGAGTAGAAAAAGTGGTGGCAAACGGACGTCAGTAGTGCGGCGGCTTAGAGGACAGCTCCGGATAGAGTGAGTTACGGGATCGACTTCCACCCGGCGCAAGGGTTTCGGATATTACTCTACATCACGAGGTATATCTATAACATCATACCACCACTAAAGGCGGTTAAATAATAAGAAGTTTCTTTTCACTTATGCATTGTGTTACCTACCTCTTTTCATTTTTCTTCACTGATTTATGACTAACTAGTTAAATGTGCTCTTATGCAGTTAAATTTGTGATGACAAGGCTAAAAAGCTGCGATTATCAGAGTTTTTTTTCGTCGGCAAGCAATACATTTTTGTTTATGGTAGTGGTATATTTATTCCCCTTTCGCATTCAATTAATTCACTGTCAGCTTGTTGTATTTCATTCGATGTCAGAAATCATCGTTCATCACAAGATGAGTTATATCTAATCAGCGACGGTGGCATCAAATTTGGATTCATAATCCTTTCGGGACAAAATTTATCTATTTGGATTCATGATTTTTAGGAGGCTCTTGTACTCGTCGAAAGCTCTTTCCTACTCATTTGGTCATTGCTTCAAAAATATATCCCAGCATTTTAATGTGTATGGTTAATAAAAAGCTTTTCTTATTAAGTTTTCGCAGCAAAATTATTATGTTTCGCACTCAGTTTATTATGCTTGCCCGGTTAGGGTCTGTCTTTATAGCGGGTTATTGGTAGTCGTTCAATAACTCAAACCTCGATAATTTTGATGCTCAAATATGTTTTTCTCAAAATTCACACTGGAACACCATCGGAATAAAAGTAAGTTTACGTTTCACTTTCAAGACAGCCAGTTCATTGCTTGAACATCATAGCGGTTTATTTGAAAATGTGGAAAAGAGGAAGTTCGTGCCTATAAAGTGATCGGGCAAAGGCCTTTCTACAACTCTATTACAAAAACCCTGATGTGCTCTCAAAACGGAGGGAAAATTTCTAATTAAATGACAAGAATCGCGCGCCTTTAGAATGACGCTAAACGTAGCGAAAAACGAATATCTTCTATAATAAATCTAATATTCACTCGAGGCGTTAACATCCAACTATTGCCTCGAACGTGCACCTCGCCACGTGATTTTCGCTATTCACTTATCATTAATTTCTGTTTAGATAGCAAATCCTGAGTTTTTTCTATTATAATTATAGAAGAAGACGAGTGGGCGCAGTGGTTAGAGGTGCCCTGCGTCGCACACAAGGTCAATGGTTCGACCTCGCGCTTATGGCTCACCAAGCCATCCATCCCTCCGGGGTCGGTAAATTGGTACCAGACAGGTTCCAGACTTGTCTGGGAGGATTAGCAGCACTGATTCGGTTCAGCGGTAGGCCACCGCGAGTCATTGTAAAGGCCAGATATGCATTCAGTCACCTCAAATGAAGTTAAAAATTGAAGTCGAATGCATGGCGCATCCCTCAGGGATTGATCAAAGCCGAGAGCTTTATCTTTTTTATCCTAATTATAGAAGACACTTTGTTCTATCCTTATATAGGGGTAAACCTTCCTTGTTTCACGTTGCCATTCAAACTTCCTATAATGTCTATGTTTAAGGGCGCATGGTGGCGCAGTAATTAAAGGTGCTCTGCGTCGCACACGAGGTCAATGGTTAGATCTCGCGCTCATGGCTCACCAAACCATGCATACCTTTGGGGTCGCTATATTGGTACCAAACTGTCGAGACTTGTCAACAAGAGAAGCAACACTGACTCGGTGCTACGGGAGGCCACGGCGAATCATTGTAAAGGCCAGATATACTTTCAATCACCTCAAACGAAGTTAAAAATTAAAGACGAATGCATAATGCACCACTCAGGAATTGATCAACGCCGAGCGCTTTATCCTTTATCGTTTTATAATGTTTATGCGATGGGCTAACTACTCCGTGTGCGAAACAATCTTTTTCTTGCTCTAACAGTGTCCTATGTAAACCTTTTCAGGAATTAATTTGATCATCTAAATTGCACTTTTCGAAGTACAAGAACACCGAAGATGCGGGTGGTGTAGTAGCAGTGACGATGTTTACTGCGATTGTGAAGTTAAGCAATATCGATCTTACAGAAGTTTTCAGGCATCAACCGTAAGTTACCTTCATCAACTACCAACAATACCCTCACCTCATCGCGTAATAAACGAAGAAATTTGTCGCGCATGCCGTATTTACGGAGAGTCCGGCCAGTAAGTCGACTTGTAATCTCTCAACATTGGCTTGCAGAAGCATATTGATGGTCATGATGATAGTTGTACTAGACCATCCAAGCACCACTGATAAGCTGATAACAGCCAACGATCGATAAATCTGCTTCATATTTGTGCTGCCTGAAAAGGCGTAATTTTGAATGTCTTTACACAATTTTCATGTCCTAAATGCAATTTGGCAAGAGAGTGAAATTGTCACAGTTTATGAAAACTTACTCATTTTGAGTTTCTTAAGAAAACAAATGAACGAAACATAGCAAGCAATTATCAGGATGTTTACGACCACTATGGAATTTATGACCACAACATAGATGAATCCGTCCATCGCAGCTGTGATGATACATACCACCTTTCTGAAATTCAAATATCATTTCTATTCTGAATCGCCGCATTTTTCCATCTATTTTTAGTCATAATTCCCCTTGTACTTAGCGTTGAATGTAAAAGTGTTCTTAATTGAGGTTTCGTGTCCATTGAGATATTCAATTGTAAAGGAACACCTGTATTTTATATAATTGAACAGCAAAAAAGCAAATTATTACGTTTGAGTCGTCCTTCCTGATTTTCAGCCGTAAACGTTGCGAACTAGAATTATTGTGCTAATAGATGCCGAGCAGAGCCAGAGCTCAACGTCAAACTGTTCTGGATTAGATACCGAGCTTAATTAAAATAGGGAATTGGCCTCATAGTTTTGTCTAGTCGTAGGGTTGAATGTATTGCACGCGAACATTCACAAAGTCGTATAGGAAGTAGAAACTATCTCAGTCTATGAGAATCAGAAGGTCTACCATTCGGATTTGGATTGGTCGCAAAAACGTGTCAAGCACGACAAAAGCGTGATCATTTGTAGGACTCCAAGCTCCCATTGTCAAAGTGTCTCGCCAGTGATCACACTAAAATTCTCCGAACATAGTAGGCCTTTTTGTGAAGCAAGAAAAGTTCAGTTTGCCATCAGAAATTCAGCTTTATACGCAAAGGTTATCGGTGAAGCTTTTCTTCGAAAACAAATTGTCATTAGACGTTGAAAGGTTTTCTGATTAGATTACTGGCATAAGCAGTAGTGGTGATGCTAATCAGTACGAGGAACCTACCACTTAATCCTTCGGACAACCTGAATTAGTACTGGGTTATTCTAGTAGCAATTATCTCCCTTCTACTCATAGAGACAGAAGCTGTCTGTGATAAAGCTTTAAAAACGTGCTAGCAGCTATACTATGGGACGAGGTGCAGCTGATCCCGACACAGGGTACGAGAAAAGTTTTAATAATTCTATATTTGCTAGTTTCACCAATGATATGGTTTCCACTAATTCCGCTAATTTTCTTGAATTCTTTGTTTGATTTTGGTTTAGAATATGTTTTATTTACCTGTCTATTCTCAGTTGTGCTTAATTTAGAAATCGTAAAAGTAAACGTATCACAACACCTGAGTTACATAAAGCGAGAATGAAAATGGCCGACATTGTTGAAGTAACTGATACGTCTCAAAGAGACTGGAGAAATTGAGAATTGTCCTCAGAAACGTTGCCCAATAATATCGTCTAGTTCGGGACATCGTTTAGTCCGGAAGATATTCAGAAAAACCGCTGCCAACTTCAACAAAGTCCTGAGCCGTCGATGCTCGAAAAGGCAAAGAAGCTCGGTATCACCGAGTGGAGCGTCTCAAACGTCAAAAATAAACTAAAGCTCTACAGCTACAAGATCGCTCGTGCTCATTTTGTGAACAAGAAAGTGAAATAAGAAGGCCTCCGAAAGCTCGCCAATGATTCGTATCATAACTGGCGTTCGTTTGTCGAAGGTGCTTTTTGAGGATGATACGATGTTTACAATCGAGCTATTTCACAGTCGTTAAATGGACGTTAACTATTCAGGAGCGTCAGAAGTTAGATTCAGTGACAAAACTAAAAACATCAATAATTTCGGCCTCTGTGATGGTCCTGAGCCGGCGTTTGCGCCGCCGGGAGAACGGCATTGGTCTTCATCAGCGGAAACTTCAAAACCAAATCTGTCAGCATTCAACAGCATGTTTCACGGAGTACTGGAGCCTTGGAGTACTCATCACTTTGGTGCCAACGGATTTGTATTTATGCTCTACCAGGACTGAGCTCATGAACCTTGGCCTGCTCAACGATTGCCATCTATTAAGAGCTGTTTCCAGGCTTATGGGGCAAGGATATTTGGCCGCCAAAGAAAAGAAATTTTGGCCGCTCGCTAGGCCACCATAGAGGCATTTGAAATGGCGTTGACACTCGTTTAGGACGAAATTTTGTGGGAACGTGTGCGAGCATCGTCGAAATTTTTCGCAAGCTACTTCGTAAATGTATAGAGGCCAACGGTGGCAATTTTGGGGAATAATTA